ATCTATGCTAAAATGTTACGCCATAACATAGCTAAAGCTCAACACTATCAGAGGATGGAAGCATGGAAAAACGAGATAATGCAAGAAGTCAGATGACTTCAGAGAGATCAGAACGACTACACCTACTGGCATGACCGGAGTGTGTCGGAGCTTACCGAAGATATACACGTACTGGCTTATCGGATTGACGGACTGCATGATTTTGTTACTCATGTTGGACTACATGGATATGGTGTAGAGCCTTTCCAAGGTAGATATGATGCACGTGGACATGCACGAGCATGGGTATGTCACAAAGTGCATGGTCGAGGCGAAGAATAGTCACTCATCTTATTTCCTTCCTTCCTTTCTCACCGTACTTCGTTGCATTGGGGATAATGCATAGTTTAAGTTTGGGGGAGGAAGTTTTACCACTTTCGTTTTCATTTACCGTTTTGTAAGTAGGTTTTAATTACCGTAAATTTCCCTTTAATAAAATAATTTATGTAATATCAAGTCGTTATATGCGGATTTTCGTTCATTATTCGATTCTCTCACTTTCTTGAGCCATAACAAAAACTTTTACTTGACACATTCAAAGAGTATATAGGTTCCTCACTCTTAAAGATATGTTAGAACTTTTGAGTGACAATTAAACAAAATTGATACCGCCTCAACACTCTAAAACCCCCACTTACGCGGGACCGGTTTAAGTACCTATTATACTGAAATTTCAAACTTTGAAGTAACCCCGAGTAGTTTATATAAACAGACAACACCTTCTTAAAAACAACCTACGTAAAGGGCCGATGAGTATAAGTGAATAGTCTTAAATCATTTTCCTAAACATCTTGTAATGATGAACTGAAAACAAGGAATGCACTAATTAAGTTAGGTGACCCTCACCTGGTTACTTAATACAACAGTGCAGAACCTACATATTATATTATAAAAAAACCGATGTAAGTTGGTTCAGAGGTTTCTGGTGCTGAACTTTGTAGGGCGGACTACGGTTTGATCCCCTGAAACTTGCAATCAAATTAATTAAGGGGTTACCATATTTATGTACAAGAACCCCATGCTTAGTATGACCATCACTAACCAGCGACTCTACTATGTGTGTGAAATAAGATAAAGGTCTTAATGTGATTGCGATCAAACAAAACGAGTGAAACAAAGCAAAAACGATTAGGTTGAGCTATAATAGCATGATTGGAACTGGTCTGCATAAGGAGGGGTTATTTAGTGTTATCATTGTATCTCTTTTGTTGATATTGAGCTTACATCGTTCTAATGAAAACATCACGCAACCACGTACGAATTGATTTATTTTATGTAATTGCATTTAACATGTGCTTAAAAGATTATTGTATTGATTATTTTCTTGAGCACAAGCAAAGGTTCAAGTATAGGGGAGTTTGATAACGCGAAAATACATAGCTTATTCGACCCGATTTTCATAAATAAAGTTATCATTTTATCTTAATTATGTTGCATTATGTTGGATTTTCAAGTGTGTTTGAGGTAATTATTCCATCCAAGGCCTACATGAGAAAAGGAGAAGAAATGGAAAAGAAACGAGCTCAAAATCAGAAAAACAACAAAAATAACAGAAGACTTCATATCAAAAGGTTGTGGCCCTCGGCTCACCTTCTGTTCCTCCCTGCACAAGCTGAAATTGTGTGCCCCTCGACATACAAGCCATTTCGATCAGCACGGAGTAAAAAATGTGTGCCCCACGAAACATATTTCATGCCACTCGGCGCAACCTGTTTTCTATTTTTTTGACGCGTGAAGACTTCTCCACAATTCCACGCCAACGACCTGCATGATTTCCTTCTGGTCTTTCTCCATACACAGATCTTTTGGAAGCACGAAGTCACATTCCTATATTTTCGCAAAGCAGTTTTTGTTACGGGAAGGATATAAAATAGAAGGACAGTTATACAAAGACTCTCTGGTCTCTGCTATCTCATTTTGTTACATTATTTTTCACTTTCATTTTTTCCTTCCACACCATTATTCCAATTTCACAGTTCATAACTTTGTTTAGAACTTAAGCAGATAAAGCCTTCACCTGAGCAGCAATAGTTTTCTACACCGGAAAACTATTGCAACATTAGTTTTTCTTCATAGCCTATATAACTTGTTTCTTAGTTTAATATTTTTATTCTGCATTCAAGTTAGTTTTTCCGCAAGCAAATGCTACCGGAATATTTTGGAGGATTGCTATAGTACTTAAAGAATTGCATAATTTTGTTCTCATTATTTAATTCTAGGTTTATTTTAGCTTAATTATTATTCTTTATTTATTATTCACGTCTGGATTATTATATGTTTGTTATTACTCTGTGTTCGTAACGGATAATACGACTGGCTAATTTCCCTGATACAGGTATGTAAAGTCACGAACCAAGGGAGTTCGGTAATGAATTGGCATAAACATTTTATAAAAATACTTTTCTGGTTTGATTTCCATATTTCAATATAAAAGTGTTTTGTTATGAGAGTAATAAACAAACAAAGACTAAAATCAATAATTACGAGAGTGTGAGTTTTTAACCGGATAGTGGTCATCAAACATTGGTTTTAAATACAGTGAGAGATATTTACGATTAATTAGAATCTATTTGTTTTCAAAAGTATTTTAAATGTTGAATGAAACAATGAGAGTGATCATTTAAGTTTAATAATTTAGTCTGAATCAACAATCACGAGAGTGTGAGATAAAGATTTTTAAACTAATAGTTTCTACTGAACAGAGTTTTGAATACTCAAAGCTATGCAAATGCTTTACTGAATTCCCAAAGTTATACGTATTACATACCAGCATTCGTTTATTAAATATTTAAATTAATTCTACCCTAAAAATAATATTTATTAGTCTTAGCTTTACACAGTAGCTTTAGACAGCAGTAATTCGATTACCAGTCCCTATAGGTTCGATATCTTTTAAAACTATGCGATTAAATTATGCACTTTCAGTTAATACACCCGATAGACTCTTAGAGTCACGCGATCATTGTCCACGCTGGGAGTTGCACAAATTATTGCATGGAAATCTCCATGATTCTTTGAACAAAATATAAGGTTTCCTAATTAGTCTCAATCAACCAATTATAGTAACAATTAGTCTCAATCAATTAATTATAGTAACTTGTGCATAATTGGAGATATTATTTGTTCGAGATATAAAAGTCTTGACCTGTGATAAATTAGTGAGACATAAACAATTTAAATGTCATAGAACCATTTAATGATCTGTCAAGAATAAACCAAATTGCAGTACCACCTACATTAGACCAAGATGTCATGACATTGTCTTCGACATCTGGCTAAAAACACCCAACAACAATCTTGTTATGGCAAACCATGTTTTAGCAAAAATTATGCCAATCTAAAAAGCATGGTAATAACAATCATCTTACCTATTTGTGATTATGGAGGCACCATCTCTCCCTTTACTCTCACAAACCTATCCTTCCAATTCTTGTAGTGGTTGGAGTAAGGCTTGAATAATGTCCTCCTAGACAGGGCGCTGTAATACCCCAAATTTGTCCCACCCTTTTACTTTTATCTGGCTTATGCATTGTCGCGTTTTTCTCATGTACATAACTCCATTAGGTCATTTAACATTGCATACATTCACTAATAACATAACTTGGCAAGGGGTCGAGAACCTTCAAGAATTAGGGTTTCAATATTGGTTTTCAGTGGAGATTGCTTTAAGCTAGAGTTTGGTTCCTCTTCACCATTTCAAGCCTCATCATCCATCTCTGAGAGTTATTTAAGGCATTTATATTGTGTGCTCCGCAAGTCAAGGTATCTTTGAAGATTGAGGTGCAAAAGCATTGAGTCATGATACAAAGATGAAGAGGTAAGTTCACTGCGAACAAGACATTATTGTCCTCTCAATTGCTTATTGCTTGTAGAGCAATATAATATGGATTTGAGATCGAGGTTAGGAGTTTTGACAAGAAGACAAACTGATTTAGGTTTTTGTTTGTTAAGAATTAAAGTCAATTTGGATTCATCGAAGCTACTAATTGTGCTCAAGATTAATATTAGCTCAAGGTCTCAATTTCATGATTTGGCAATGGTTGATTCAAGATATAGTTAGAAGATTCTTTCATGTGGTTCTCTTGGTGTACAAGTTACGAATTTGAAAAGAATTACAAGTCATAACATCATTCAAGGTTATTCATTTAGTTTTGTTCATCAAAACTCATGAAGATCCAAGGGTTCATGTTCATTCAATGATCTGATCTTTACAAGTTCTAAACATCACGCATGATTTGTCAAAGGGTTATCCAACTTCATTCTCGTTCATTCAAGTTCATAATACGATTTACAAGCTATGTTATTGGAGCATTACAAGAGAAAATTACAAAGGCCATTTACATCCAAAATTACTAAATCAAAACAAAAATTTACACTAAATCTTCAAGTGGACTAAACCTAAAGAGTCCCAAGTTCCAGGTCTCCATCATCAATTTCTAAGCTTATTCATTTTCAAGCCATTGTCTTCCAAGACTGTTTTATGCCCACTTGGTTATGTCCAAACCTTAGTCCATGTTTCGTGCCAAAAGAAAACCTGCAAAAACTGTCATAAACAAAAGCAATTAAGCATCACAAATCTATGACCAAATTCCATATCTGCATTCATCAATAACCAAAGAAAAGCAGAAAAAATAAGAGAAGAATCAAAGTATTACCGAGCCTACCCTGTCTAAGTCAGCTACATGCTCCATTCTTCCTGCACTTTCACTTCATTTTTTTAGACTCATACTAACAGTAACAGAAGCAGATAACTAACTTTCATCTGAATCAACCCTGGCCCTGTGATTCCATAGCAGACTGAAAACTCAATGGCTCAGATTCAAGGATGTGATAACCGACTCTAACTAATATAACAGGAAAAAAAAGGATAACAACCTCTATTCAATCAAGGGCTTAGATTCATTAATCTCCAACAAACTTCTAAGAGTTATATAACTGAATCATTTCACAGTTCACGATGGATGGAAAAAAAGATACGATTATTTCACAATTCATTTTCACAAGAAAAACTCACCTTGATTCATTCATGCTCCAACTTCTGCAAAATCATACTAAAAGCTCACATAAATTTCTCTTCTCTCCTCATGTTCTACTTCATCTCCATCATTCCTCAACTGGCAGAAAAAATCATAAATTCTCTCTTTCTTCTCCTCTCATCAACTTCATTCTTCATTCTGCAAGAGAGTCACCAAACACAGAAAATTCTCTCTGTCCATCTTCATCTTCAACCTGCAACACCAGCACGGAAAACTCACCAATCTTCCTCGATTTTCTTTATTGTCAACATAACAAAATCTCACTGCTTCAAGAACGAACAACAACACCACTTCAACTTTCATCGTTCTTCAATTTGCATCAACAATAACATCATCTTCAATTTCTAATCTCGGCTTCAATTAGCAAAAGGCACCTGCTTCTCTTCATCGCACCTCCTTCAACCTCGTGTTTTATCTTCAAACTTCATAAAGCTTCATCAAACTACAACGATCTGCAACTTCGGATTCACAACGATGACAAAAAATTCACACGCTCATAGATTTGCAGAGAAATGAATATGAAAAGAGGTAGAAGAAGAACGAAATAGAAATCGTGAATGATTACCGGAGTTTTTCATTACCGACATTATTGAGTCGCCATCGGAGCGTCTCCGATCGGTAACCTTTGAAGCTCTTAACTCTTTTTCGTTCTTGTTATCCCAAGGTAGAACTTGTGAATCAGTTAGTTTGAAGATATTTTGAGATGGAAGCGAGATGGTGAACGAAGACGTGAAGCGAAGCCAAGAGAATAGAATCCGTGGCGGTGGCTGTAGTGGCACGACGAGGAGACGACGATGATATAAGCGGCCGAGGATTTGAGAAGGGAATGATGCCTCCGCCGTGTTGAGGAATGAGAAAGATCCTTTTTTTGCTATGAGAGTTCAAAAGTCACAAACTGAACCTAATTCCAAACGCATCGTTTTGCCATATTTTGGCTTTTGTTTTATTATATTTTCTTTTTAATTCAAAAATAATAAATGAATAAATGTTTTAAATAATTTGGATGATAATGGTGATGGATTGGTGATGGACTGAATCATACACCCCCTCTAGGCTCGTGATATATTTTTTTGGAGCCTGTATGGCACTAAACAAAAACCAGCTTCATGGACTTTTAATGGACCTAGCACCTGAGTTCCTTTACTACACTCCCCAGTCCAATTTAGCACCCCCCTGAGCTCACTAATTATTTATTAGATTTAGGAATTTTTCTTTGTTAATTTTTCCTTGACAAAATTATAAAATCAATAAAATTTGGTAGATCTCTTTAGTTGATTTTAGGAATTAATTCTTTAGTTTTTTTGATGGAATTTTCCTTACATAAAAAAACTAATCATAAAAATACTTTTTCCTTTTTTAGTTGTCATCTGTATTTTCTTGCCGCTTTGCCATTTTATTTTTGACGTGTTTGTTCATTGTGCAAGGAACTTCTGATTATGCATTGCATTCGAAATACGCGTTTGCCATTATTTTAGTTGGATATGATTTCTAACTTTGTTTGTTGCTTGGTGAAGTTTTCTCGACGCGTGCTCCCTGATTCTTCATTGCTCTCGTTCGCTCTTGACGACTTGCTCGCTTTGGTAGCCTCCGCTACTACCTTTGTACTTCTTCGCATTTTATTGCAGTTCATTATCGCTTTCTAGATATCATGTGAAGTAAGAAATAAAGAGCATGCGCTCGAAGTCGCTGTTTAAAGACCTGTAGCAGGCATTTCCCACTTCATTTGCTATATGTGTTGTGCTTGTGTTTGTTTCTTTTTTGATTGATCGATGAGTCACTCAATTTAGAAATTGAGATCACGACTTCGCTCTCAGTGCAGGCTCCCTATAGGGTTTTATCGCTTTCCTTTATTTCTTGCCGATCGATGAGTCACTCAATTTAGAAATTGAGATCACGACTTCGCTCTCATTGCATGCTCCCTATAGGATAGTTTTTTTATACTTTCTTTGGCATGCTAACTTATATAGGATCTCTCTAGGTGCTCTCTTGATTTTATTGGCTTTCTTGCTTTGTCCTTGCACATACCATGTTCCCTTAGGATGTGCTTGCTCCGTTCAGATGCAAATTAGACCTTAGGTTGCAAACCATGCATGCTAACATTAGGTAGATGTTTCCCTTTTGTTAATCCAACCCTTAGGACCACCATTGTATGATAACACTAGGTTAGAAATAGGCTAGTCTCCCTTAGACTCTTTTCTTCCCCTTTTCGCATCCCTGCATCTAAAACAAAAACTTCTTTTCTTAGCAAATCAAAAACATGCTAATCTCACTTAAACCCTTTTCAAGGTAATAAAATACAAACCAATTCAAACCATTTTGTGCGCTCGAGCACCTTTCTCTAAAACCCTTTTCAGGTAAGGACATGATTAGTTTACTTCTGTGTCAACGCATAAGTCTCCAAAGGTCGAGTTGTGGCAGAAGGAGGAATTAACTTCGTCCATAAAAAACACAAACAAACAAAAACATATGAGCCTAACTACAGTAACTCTGATTCCTAAAAAAGGATACGTAGGCATTGGGGTAGGGCCCAAGCGAGCATAATTTTATTTTCCCTACATTCTTTTTTCATTTCTTTTGTATGCATTCTCCCCTCAGTAGTATAGTAAACAGTAAGCATAGATTAATCACACCCATAAGATAGATAACAAGAGTGGATACCATAGAGTACTACGGGCGTATGGGGTGCTAATACCTTCCCCTCACGTAACAGACTCTCTTACCCGATATCTCGGTTGCAAGACAGTGACTTCTCCCTTCTCAGGTTTTCTCGGTGTTTACCTTTCCCTACATGTGGGATAAAAGACGTTCAATGGCGACTTCATTTGTTGATGATTTTCAGCCAATTGTTTCAAGCGCCAAGAGTCAACTAACTTCCATTTGATATGGTCTTAGTACCATATAAGGAAACTAATTTCCATATCGTTGGATAGGCATCCAATCGCTAGTATATTTTCTTGAAGGCCCTAATGAAAAATCAACCATTCATCGAGATCTAGGAGGGAGCGACCTTTGTAGTCATCAAAACCTCCACTTTGAATAAGGTAGAGGGAACTAGAACCCCTAAATGTTTGATGATTAGAAGGTGTAGATAGAAAAAGGGATTGGGTGAATCAAGGGGTCGACCATGTTGACGAACTCCTCCTTAGAACATAGTTATAGAATAATGTCTCCCTCGTCGCTAATGCCATAGAGGGCGGTATGTCTCCAAAAAGAGGCCACCATATCCTCACAAGTATAATAGGTCTAAAATTCCTCTACATTTGTGTACTAAGGATTGTTAGCTAGCATTAGTTGCTTGGGATTTCCTAGGAAAGAGTAAGAAAAAGGAGAGTCAATATACTCACAAAACTACTAGTGCATGGAACCCATGTCGATTTGGATTCGCAAGACAAGCCAATCATTAGTTGCATTTAATGTTGCACGTGGTTTTCTGTGATGCTTTAGGTAATCGCCCCAAGCTTTATCTAAGAACATATTTGGGGCTAACCGAAATATGAAGACTTAACATGATCGAATTAAATCACTTCATCAGTTACAAATCCACGTACTTAAGGGACAATGTACTAGGATAATTTCACTAGATCCAAAGAAGGAAGGCCCAAGAATGCAAGATGCAAGCACATTACCTCAACTTTGGGTGGGTGCCCAACATGGGGAGGCAGATCACCTGATACAAGAACGAGGCCACCCATATTTAGGTGATAGAGCTCCCATTTGGGCTTGGACCGCCTGAGCTAACTTCCATTGTCCATTTACTCAGTAAACGTGAGAGATGATGTGTCCTAGAAGGACCGATTAAAGCTCTGTCTAGGAAGGATAATCATCTGTCCTGGATTCTAGGGAAACTCAATCCCTTATATACCATATTTTCTAGTCATGAAGTTAGGACAAACCACACACTCTCTCTGTTCGACGATGACACCTTATCTAGAGGGGGTGAATAGATCACCAAGCCAAAAAATTCAGATAAAAATTATGGTTTTGAAATTGATTAGAAAAGAGTGCACTCTGAAGGTTTTCAAAAAGTGTCGTCTGTACGAACCAAGTTATTGGAAGTCGCATATGCAAATATTAATGAAAAAAGTATGGAATGAACACAATAATATGGATTTTATATACTTCAATCAACTAACACGTTATTAATCATTTATAGCAAGTTACTAGCAATACTATTTCCAATAGAAATGATCAAAATAACAAACAAGACAATTTGTCGAACACTTGGTGTGCAACCGAATTTTCAAAATTTTCCTTTTGACTAGTGTTGATACAAAAGCACTTATAATTAAAAGTGATTATAAGCAAATCAACACTTAATTAAAAAAACAACAACGAAAAAATTCTTACAATTTGATCAATTACTCAATGCTATTTTACAAATTGATTGATGAAAATTAAAGCATGTAAAAAACGATAAGAAAAAGTGCACGAGGATTTGTTAACACAATTCCCCAATTTTGTCCTCGTGTACGGGTACGTCTGTGCCTAATTCCAATTTGGAATTAGGATAATTCTTACTATGAAAAAGTTGATACAAGAGAAGTGCTCCAAGAACAACCTTACAAACCCTAACCGTTTGTTGTTGATTCAACCCCTTCTCTTATTTTGATCTTGAGAAAGACCAAGACACAATAGATCCCAATTGACTTGTCGATATTGCTACTCATTTACGTTCTTTATCTCCAAATCTTTCATGCACGATTAATTGTACCTATTTCAACACAAGACTTCAATTCGATCTGTTGTTATCGTATTACTTCCTTTGAGTTCTTTATCTCCAAAGGGTCCTTTGAGTTCTTTATATCCAAAGGCTTTCACTAGGCTGCAATCCTCTCTTGAACGTCTTGCAGGAAAACACCCAAATGACTCAATGATCTTGGAGGATAAAACCACGGTTTTTCCGGATGAAGACCAATGCAAATCTCAACCCAATACTTTCGGCTACACAAGAACCTAATTGAGCGTTATCAAATCTCGCCTAGGCGGCACCCTAAAAAAAGATTATTATGTGTGATTTTTTAGTGTGTATGCATAGGTAGAAGGTTGAAGGTGAAGAGCAATTGCAGGAAATTTTTTATAGTATCATCAAGTTGGAATGATGCATGAATGATGTATTTATAGTTGTGGAAGTTTAGATGTAAAAAGGAGATTTTTGGAATTAAAACGAGTTGAAAAATTTTTCTAATCAAATAGTATGTGTCGACACATAGGTAAAATTTTAACTGTATGTGTCGACCTAAAAAGATGGATGTGTCGACCAAAGCAAGGTAGTAGTTTTTAAGCTTTAAAAAAGAAGTACATGTGTCGACCTGAAACTTGTATGTGTCGACACATAAAATAAGAATTTATGAAATTTCTTAAAAGCTTCAGTATGTGTCAATCTATATGCATGCACGTGTCGACCTAAACCCTCCAAAGGCTACAGGCTTCAAAATTGAGTTGCATGTGTCGACCATAAATGCGTATGTGTCGACACATGCAATAAAAATTTATGTAGAAATTTGTTTTTCAAGACTTTGGTCAATTTCAAAATGGTTTTTAATGTTCCTAAGACCCTTAATGCAAAGGAGTGCCACAAGACATAAAGATATCGTCCAATAAACATAAATGCTAAATTTTCCTAGTTTTGACATCATGCAAAACATCTAATGGTGAAGTTGTACTCACATACTCCCCCTTTTTGATGATGGCAAAACTTGCGACAATGCATTTCATGTAGTTATCAAAGGCTCCCCCTAAATTTATGCTTCCCAACTTCATCTCGCACATGCTTCTCTCCCTCTGACAACATCAAAAAGAAATATAGAAAATCGTGAAAAGTATCATGTTCTAATACAAATACAAATATATTAATTAGAGGTGTTTTTGCATTGAAGAACAATAATCACATATCCCCATATATATGTAATGATGTGAAATTGATAAATAACTGGCAAACAACATTACAACATATGTAATGCAATGCATAATAATAAAGAATGAAATATAAGAGAAAATTTTTCAAGTTGCTTCTATAGCATCACAATTACATAACACATCATAATTGAACTCACAATGTCGCACACGCATGTGCCTACCATATTGACAAGAACATGTCACTATAAAAACCAAAACGAAGATGTTTTTCATAACATGTGACCAACTACAACATGAAACACATATTTCAATGAACATGCATACAATTAACTCAAGCACGAATACAAAAAATAAACTTAAAGAACACATTCTTGCACAACAAGAACAAACTTATACAAATGTGAAAGAATTAATACGTGAAGTTATTATAAGCATATACATTGAAAACACACAATGGTGATCAATCCAAAATTTTGGAAATGAATATTCATGGTTTTCATCATTTGATAACATATAAAACATTTTTAATCAACAAGTAACATGCATTAAGAAAAGGATTACATTCAAGGAGAAATTGAAACGATATTACCTCACTCATGATGGAAAGGAAGTTGCACTCACATGATGTAGAATACTAAAAAAAGGGTTAGAGTAAAAGTATAAATTGCAAGAAACTAGGTAAATTTAAGCAAGATTTGAGATATCAAGGATCCCTAATTCCTCTCTGTAACATGGTGGGAGAATTGACTAGGGTGTTTTGAATTTGATCACAATTATTGCGGATAGCAAGGGTCGCCACCGACTTTTCTTTTATCCAATAAGGAAAGGGTGAAAAGAACAGAAAAGACATTTGAG